AGTCTGAATAATTTTGTGCAAGCTCATCCACCAAAAAGAAAAGAATCTCCCATATAGAGTCACGTCAAAACCAAGACACGTACAAAAACATAAATAAAAAAAAAATGGATCAACTTGACGATTTAAAGAAACTCACAATGATTTAAGACTAAAAAAATTTAGAAGTACTTGTTTGTTTCGAAGTTAGCGATCAAATAATGCACATAAACCAACAAATTATTATCTTGTGATTAGGATCAGATTGCCCATCAACTCCCATTATCTTAATACTCGAAAAACACGACGTAATTATCAAGTTACTATAGATATATATTCCCCTAGCTAGGCCATATATAGTAAGTATTTCTTTTCAACTACTTAATTAATGTAATTAGATTCTATTACACAAAGTCTTGGGAAAATGATAGAAATCGGATACATATAGCAGCAATCAGGGCATCTCTTAGAGGAGTAGTTAAAAACATACCCGCCATCAGTGATGTCAGCTCGTTCCTCGCGTGTCTCCTCACTTTTTGCGAACTACGATTTTTTAAACCCTAGACGACTTTTCGAATCTTCAAGTTGACAAAAAAAAAAAAAAATTCTCCCGATGGAAAAATTAATATTTTTGTTAGATTTAATATTTTTTTCATTATATTTGTGAACATAGAATCCTTTTGGTTATGGAAGATGCAATGCAACAGTGTGGAAAATTTACTTTTATTGACTGGCAACGATTGATCAAAAGGCTTAATGACAGTGCTACAAGCCTACAAATAATTCATTATTAACTTACGTAGTGGTATTTTCCTTCGTCTCTGTATTTATTTTCACTATTTACAACGTATATTTCCTTTTTGTTGAAAATTTTAGTAGGTGCAGCTAAAATTTATTGGCTAAGAAACTCATATAGTCAGTACGTACCTGGTTTTTGGTTTTTTTCCTTCAAAACCCGTAAGTTTTAATCGCTTTCGACAATTATAAAAAGGGTGAAACTTCTAGAATTTATTTTCAGAGAATGAATCTTGAATAAAAGATTACACTGATGACATACGTGGTTACGTGCAGCTAATTTAATATTCTCGGTCAAAGATAATAATTTCTCACTAAGAAAGGTCAATGGAAGATTTTATTAACAAATGCATTACTCTATTAATTATCTGTAATCAATTGTGTCAAAAAAAAAAAAAAGTAAAATCCACAGTCAAAGATATCACTTGAGATATTGTGATATATTTACTAATGTCGTGGCTCGTGATATGATGCCACATGAAAAGAACAAGCAAACTAATAAAGATGAAAGAGCCATTGCTATGCTTCTTCATTTGGATCACGTTTGACCATTTTTGCTAACCATCATCGATCGGGTGGTCTAGAATATTCTAAGTACATGATCATCGTGTGGTATAGTCGTTTCAGTTGTAACAAATATATGATTAGAGTTTGAATACATTTTCGTTTCAGGAAAATAATTAACTTTATTAGGTTGTTTTAAAATTTACATACTAAAAAGTTTTTTTTAGGGCACAGAGAAAACATATTAGGGTTGGAGTAAATGAACAATCAACAATGCTTTTTTACCAAAAAAAAAAAAAAACAACAATGTGCATGTGGACGAAAAATAATGTGTAAAACATAGTGTACCGGTTGTCAACGTAACGTGACTTGCACGATATCTCAGATGACATTCATTGGGTGAATGGAATGAAGTGTGGATCATGTTGCTATACCTCTTGTAGAGAACATGAGATTCCAGCATTTTAATTGTCCATACATTAAAAAAATGTTTGTTTTTCTTATTTTTCCCCAATGAAAAGGAAAGATGATGTCCTTTCTTTGTGAAAATAAAAGAATTTTATCAATAATTCAATTTAGTATGTACCAATCGGCAATGGCAGTTCTATAAAGTCTAAAAGTCTACAGAGATTAGTAGTAACAGGGGAAAAAAAAAAAACACGTATTCATAATATTTTACTCCCTTCGTCCCATAATTATTGTTCAGTTTGGGTTTTCATTTTTAGTTCAAATTGTACTAAAAGCGAAATTTTAAACTGGACAATAATTTTGGGACAGAGGGAATATTTCCTTTATGGAACTTTTTTGAAAGAGAAATCACATTCAAAAATAAAAATATAGTAAGCATTTAAGGGTTTACGCGGCGGCCTGCACTATTTAGCCAGCAAACTGTTATATAATACAGTAATACACTATCAATTGGCTATCAAGATACTTTCTAAAATATGCTTTTAAATATATTGTCCACTTAAGAAAATACTACAACGTACATATTTATACAATTTTAATTTTTTTTTTAAAAAAGAAAAACAAAATCCCACCCATCTTACCGCCTGTTTAATCTGGATCGGAAAATGAGGTCGAGCATATATAATGGATTCCATCGTAAAAAGAACTTTGTATTCAAAATTTGGCTTTTCTGATGATGCATTTTGCAAGCCTGGTTACAGATAGCCGATTTGGTTCTAATTAAATAATTAAATAATAATAATAATTAAATTGTGCATGAGCATAACGCCGGCTGGCAGCATTTGAATTAAGTACTACTATATCGTACCAGATCTTGTTTGTTCTGCATGATAAACTATAGAGTAATAAAGACTAAAGACAATATAGATCGAAGATTGATATGCTAATATATTATTTTCTCCCATTTTTTTGAAGAAACGAAATATAAAAGAAAAAAAAAAGGAGTAAATGTGAAGAAGCCGATTGATGCATTTTGGTAAAAAATGCCAGAGTTGGAATAAGTCAATTAAGTCATATGTAAACAAGGGTGGATCAATTAATGCAGTTTGGCCCATCTTTTAAATTTTAGCTAACATTTTTATGGTTAAAAGTTGGCTTCTCTTCCTTTTGAATGTACTATGTATCTATCATGGAAATATTTGGACGGCGCGCATTGCCATTTCCCCGCGGAAAGTTTTTTGATTTGGTCCTTGAGCTTTGAAGAACTCTCCTAACTAGATTACATAGTGAATTACTCATTCCGTCTCATATTTAGGGAAAATGTCAAATAAGAATGGTAAGTTGAAACGGATCATTCAAGTATTCTCACAAGTTTTACATATTTTTCGTTGATTTACATTTCGAAAGTATATACTTATAGATGATCTATGCATATGGATTAGCAATAAGCATTTGGAGCGAACGGCGAATGTAACCTACATAATTAAGTTTGCTTGGAAAAGATGAAAAAGAAGAAAAAGAAAAAGCTAAAAGAAGGGAGGAAAAAAAAAGAGTAAAGAAAGGAGAAGAAGTAAACCTACATTGTCCATTGGTTGCAATCAAGAAAAAGTAGTAATGAAAAGTTGATTTTTATTGAAAATAAAAAAGAAAAGAAATTTCCTATCATTTTCCCCCCACAAATTCAGTTGATCAAACTACATCAAATTCCTTCAGAATGTAGTACCTCATTAAAGAGTTATTTTCTAATAATCAAGGCTAACAAAAATCTCCAAATTAGATCATACGAAACTTAGTAAATGGGCCCATTTTATCAATTTTAGAGCTATTCTAAATGGGCTAAATACTAAGAATGGTGAAGGATAACTGGGCCGTATTTTGGCCAAAAAGGCCTCATCATTTCCTCCAGAGTCCAGACAATATTCTGGATCCTTTGCCCTGCTTATGAAAATTAGTCCCTTTCCCAATTTTGAATTTTTTCCATTCTCACAGTTTCTCCCCAACTGGAGCAACTTTCTTCACCAAAAAAAAATCCCAAAATTTGGTTAAGTACATAACTATTAAATTACTCCGGTATAATTTGGGTTCCTTATTAGGGGGGAGGGGGGTTTTGTTTTTCCGTCTACTTACTTTATGCTGCAATTTTGATTCTGGTTGAAAGACTTATCAGTGCCCTCTTTTCCCGTTACCGGAGTATTTGATGTCGGTTAAATTTCGTTTTACTGGAATATGGTAGAACAATTCATTTTTTTTCTTTCTCCAGCTACTTCGGTTGCACAGTTCAAAATACATATATATTTTACAACTTTACATCCCCGAGGGAAAAGTAATCATGGGACTACCACATCACTCGTCACTTTTATTGACCTATGATTTGGGGTTCTAAAATTTATATGACATAATTTTTATATAATGATGAGACAATTAAAGAAGTAAATGGCATAAACATTCCATATTTGATTTTATATAATGCATAAAATAAATGAAAAATCTAATTTAAGCGGTTATAAATATGTCATATTACGAAGGTTTAGAAAATTTTATAATGGTTTAAAACTTGTACAATGATTAGAAAATGGTAAAACAGTTATAAGAGTGAATATCTTATTTCAAACTTTAGAACTTGAAAAAGTCACTTGTCTTGAGAGAATATTTCTACTTACAATTAGAGTGAAGAAGTAAGAGTAGAAAATAAACTTGTGTCTTCCTTTTTCTCCATGTCTCTATTTATAATTTTTTTTTTTTTTTTTGTTGTTAAGTAACTTGCTACAGTACCCCCGCTACAATGCTCCGCAACAGTAGCTGCCATGTTCCGAGCTTACGACACAAATCTGTAAGTGTTTTGGAGGAAGTATCATTTCCTGAAAATTTAGAACCTGAGAGTCAACCAAAACAATTTGAAATATTTAAATTTAGATGTTAAAAAAAAGAGTTTTATGAAAAATTTAAATAAATTATATTATCCTATAGTAACATATCATGATTCTATTTTTGAAGAGAAACATAATATTTTACGAAACTAATACTATTTATAAATAGAATATAAATAGACAATCAGAATATAATATCATGAATATACTTAGCAAATGGCGATGGTAGCTACAATTTATCATACTGTTCATAACTGTACCGAACAATCAACAACACGCATACTAGTCGTTGAGTTTACAGGTTCATTAAAAGTGATAGGAGCAATCTAACATGATTTTAGAGAGACGAATATTATTTTGGAATGGAAAAATTTAATGGATAGTGATATAGTTTTAAATTACAATGGACCGAATCACTTTATCTCAAAATCAAAATAATTTGTATTTTCTGTAAGCCATACCATTGCCAAGGTTACAAACAACAACCAGAAAACCAGCAAAATCAGTTCTCTCGACACATTTTGATCAATTTGATCATCAATGACTCCTCTTCGTCGAATACTTTTCAGACTATAAGGAAGGCGTTGGTCCAAATCTGCGGGCAAAAGGCACGCCTTTTTGGTTTCTATTAAAGGCGTGATTAGAAATGGCCAATTATTAGGATTTGGGGAGGAAAAAAGAAGAGAATAATAAAAATGAAAAGGAGAGATAAAAAGACCAGAGATGCTTGCTTCTAAGCTGATCTTAAACTGAATCCCATGTGGGTTAGATTCTGTGGAGTCCATCTCTAATCTCAAGGTAACTCTTTCTCTCTCTCACTCACACGAGCTATGAACAACTGTTGCATGAGTTCAACAGTCTCACTTAGGTACAGAGCGCCAGTTTCATTTTCCTTCAATGACTATTCTGCTTGCTTTAATGATGGATTTGATGGGAACCCATTATTGTATGCATCACCATGTTGTTCATGTTGTTGTTCGAATTCACTGTATTGTAGAGCGCCCATTGCAAGTCCTAGCTGTATATTTGGGTTAAGGCAATCTAATTTGATTCAATGGTCAACTCGTAAAAGACTGGTCTTGAATGGTTTGGACCGGTGTAGTTACGGTAGATACCCTGTTTGTGATGTTGATTCGAGGCCTTTCTGTGAAAAAGATCACATTTTTAATGAGGGGAGAGTTGGTGGGAAGGGTAGGAAGATGGGGAAAGGGAGGTTTAGGAGAATGGTTTATGGGGAAAAGATTGAATGGGATGGTAGTGATGGTAGGGTTAATGAGGTTGAGGTTATGCTTAGTTTGCTGACTGGGGATGTTGATGATGAGTGCGATAATGTAGGAGAGGAGGGGGGGAAATCATATAGGAAGATAGAAGTGTTGAAGAGAGGTAGTAAAGGGGATAATGTTGTTAGGAGGCGAAAGAAAAATGTTGATTCGGGTGTTTTGGACAGTCGATCCGAATTTCAGTATGAATCTGAGATGATTGGGTCAGAGGATGGTGAAATGAGGAGGAAAGAGAAGAATAGGAGAGAAAAGGAGACAGGAGTTCTGTTGGGAAGGGAGAATGTGAAGGTAAGGAGGGAGGAGGACCGGGCAAATTCTAGACAAGAAGTTCTTAAAGGAGAGGTGAGGGAGGAAGAGAGAATGAATCACTTGAGAGGGAATCGAAGAGAAAGGTCGAGGATTGAAGAGAGGGAGAATTTGTCCAGGATACAAGATCATAGACAAAGGGTGAGGAAAGATGGATCGAGCTGCTCTTCTTATTACTCAGTTACTTCAGATGACTTTGAGATTGATAATGAGATGCAACATGAGGAGGAGGAATTCGAGGAAGGAATATCTGGTAGTTACAAAAGAGACTCAAAAAATGGTGAAGCTATTGTGTCCCATGAAGGCAAGGAAGAGTTTCACGGGCATGGAAACTATTCTGGGGAACATGGATTTGCCTTTAGGAAAGAAAATGCTCAAACAGGGTTTTCAGGAGCATCATCTTCAGTTGAATATGACTGGAGAAAAAAATCAGAGAAAAAGCTAAGTGATTCATCTTTTCAGGGAACCAAATCCAGTGAGGAAATAGTTCAACAGCATTCAAGTCACGGACAGGTCGATTCCAGAAAAACTTTTGGATCTTACTCACACTTTGATGATAAGAAGAAGCAATTGACTTCAACAGTTGCTTTTGATGAAGAAATCGGACAACGGAATGATGTAAAGATTGGGAGTGAGACAAGGATGAAGTCCAAGGAATCTCGGGGGAGACTTGAGACCCATGATACTGATGTTAAAACGTATTCTACGACCGGTAAGCGCTACACTGATAGGGATGAGGGTTACTACAAGTCTCAGAGTTCTGTGCGGAACGAGAGTGCCTATCATAATGCATCTGGCCAGATCAACAAAGAAGAAACTTATAGGAAGAGTTCTGGGGCATCAGCTAAAACATCAAAATTACAAGAAGTTGACATTAGAGGAACATCCACAGCTGTGAGGCAATCTGGAATCAAGATAATGAGCCAGGAAGATCATGTGAAGACAACTGCGAGTAGTTCACGCAACAGTGAAGAGCAGCGATATCAATCTAGTGAGGTCAGTGAACAATTGGACTTGAGTAAAAAGTATCAGAATGTGTCTGAAGAGATTGATTCTGAAAGAACTTCTCTTTTAAGGAGGGAAAATGATGTTAGAATGAAGAGACAAGAAATCGGTTCTAATTCCAGTTACAATTCACATCAAAAATTGAGAGATCAGCGCTCAGAAAGGACTGGAAAACAAATCACCGCCCAGCAATCCCATACTGCATCACAGGAAACCATTGATTTATCAATCACTCCTTTTAGTAAAACTGAAGCATCTGTTTTGGAAGATGATGGAAAAAATACAGGTGATGAAGAAACTCTTTCTCAAATGGCCGGAAGAGGTTCGACTCGTAGTGGATCAGCAAGTGTATCAGCTACGGAAGAAGCCGCTGGTGAAAAGTTTCATGGTTCATTTAGTGGATCGCAAAAGCACACGCTTGATAGGTCTCAAGGATTCCATTACCAAGGCTCACATGAATCTATAATAGATGACCAGAGGCAACCTTCAAAGACCAAATCTGATGAAGATAGACTTGCTTCAGCTGATCGGTTGCAGAAATCTTCTTCACATTTTGTTGGAGACTTTGTTCAAAAGGTGAGGAATGAAATTTCTGGTTCTGAACTCTATGATAAGAGAACATACGGGACTAAGATTTCTCAGGAGGATGAGCTGTCTTCTCGTAGTTCCCATGGCTCTAAGGTACCTGAACCAAAGGAACAGGAATCGAAGAGTTCACCTCATAGTCCGGAAACAAAAGGACCTTCTGATCAAAGTTGGAATGTAGCTGAACAATCTACCCAGGAACCCCCCAAGGCAGAAGAAATAGGAAATGGAAGTACTTCTGGGAAAGAGAATGTGAGGAGAACTGGAAAGTCTTTATGGCGTATGATCGGAGACATTGTTCTCTTGCGCTGGCACTCACGTTCTGAAACCCAAAGCTTAGCTGCCAAATCAGGCGGGAAAAATTCTCCAAACCAATCCACAAGCAGTGACACATGGTTTTCTGGTCATGACCCTGAGGAAACAATTGATTTGAGCACAAAAAGTGATAGGATAAGCTTGGTGGAGGAAACAACTGATTTGAGCACCAAAAGTGATAGGATAAGCTTGGTGGAAGAATCAACTTCTACTGACTACCGACAAGGACTAACAAGCTATGTCAACCAAGGGGAACTCCTCAATGCATCTAATACTCAGGGTGGCTTGAAGCTCGGCGGAGCAGTTTCCATGGACTTATCAGTTGTGTCGGAGAAAGATTCATCAGTAAAAAATATTTCTTTACCTTCTGCTGGAGCAATCTCCCCGGTGAAAGAATCATCGGTTTTACTGCCTTCACCGGAGGACAGTGTATCTCCTGTTGTAGAAAGAATATCAAAAGAGATAGAAGGCCAAGGGTCAAGCAGTGGCACCTCTTCACAAATTGAACAGCCTTTTCCTTCTAATGAGAAATCTAGAACTGATGGCAACAATGCCGAAGTGAAGAGAAGGAAATTTGGAAGGGCTGATCAAGTGTCAAAGGATAAGTTTGATGAATGGGAAGAAGCGTATAGGCTTGAAACTGAACAGAGGAGGATCGATGAAACGTTCATGAGAGAAGCTCTGCTGGAAGCCAAAAAAGCTGCTGACAGTTGGGAGGTGCCTGTTGGGGCTGTACTGGTGCGAGATGGAAAGATAATTGCTCGTGGATTCAACCTGTAAGTTGTGCTATCTTGCTTTTACTCATTTCCGGTTCAATTTATTTATTGAGTTAACATTCGATGATGTATTGCAGAGTAGAAGAGATGCGTGATTCCACTGCTCATGCAGAAATCATTTGTATAAGGGAGGCATCGAATGTGCTTCGCACATGGCGGCTTTCGGTAATTCACACTCTTATATCAAAAAATGCTTTCCAATAAATATATTCTTGTTTATAATGCTAAGTTTATGTAACCATAGATGGCTGTAAATGTGTATGAGAATATCATTTACGATGCCATGTGCCAAATGCGCAGCGTGGAAAATTACATGTATCTTGAAGTTGAATTTGCTAATATGGTATTACCAATAAACTGTAGCTGCGGTTGCTTTGGGAGGATTTCAAAATTTTGGCATGTTTACTGATCAGCTAGTTCTTATTCAATAATTGCTCGTGGATACTTGCTGTACGCTCTTGGCGTAAATGCTTTCAAATGAAAATATTCTTGTTTATAATGCTCAGTTTTGTGCTCCATAGATGACTAGAAATGGTCACGACAATATCATTATGATGCCTTATGTCAAATGTACAGCATGGAGAATTACATGCCGTAGAAGTTGAATATTTCAACATGGTGTTACCAATAGGCTGTAGCGAGCTTTAAGAGGAATTGAACATTTTGGCATGTTGACTGATCAGGTAGTTCTTAATGTGATTTAGTTTTCAGTATGAGATGCTTCGCTGCAATGTGGATGAAGGAATATGATAGTGACTTCTCTGCCAGATCACTTAATGCTGAAAGCTCAATAACAAACTGGATGGGGAAGTGTAATTTTTTGAGTAGGCAATTGAAAATCTAATCTTGGCCGTCATTTGGTGGATAGTGAAGTAGGGAAAATTTTGTTCATTATGCTCCATGAAGTTGGATATGTTCTCATGTGATGAGACAAGCCATAGACCTTGAAATCTTATCATGGATCAGTGATTTGCGGCTTGAATTCTCATGAAATGTATTAGGCCGTACACTTTTAAGCCGAGTGGTCACCTCCTGTTTCCATGTGGCAGCAAGAGATTAACTGCTAAGAATCCACATTACACACAAAAAAAAAAAAAGAAAAAAAAGAAAAAAAAAAGAAGACAGAAGATAACACAAGTGGTTTGATGCTTCTTGGATATGTTGGTCAAGATAACATCAGTCTTCTACTGGTTCAATAGTAAAGCATCAATCTGTTTCCATTGTGGTAAATTCTTTCGTTAGGGAGATCCCGCCCAAGAAACTCAAGATAAAAGTCTTACAAAAATCTTTTTCTTTTGAAACAGATCTTACCAAAATCTACGGAATACTATTTTACTGACTTTAAACTCAAGCATTGCGATTAATGATTGAATTACTGCTTGGTGGTTTGTATTTTGTACTTCATTAATAATGGCGAATGTAGTAGTGTTATAATACTGGTTCTAATTTATTATCTTTGTTAAGGAATACTCGGACTGTTTTATCTAAACCAGATGTTATTCCGTCCTTTCCCGTGATTCTGTATATGTTCTCAATCGTCTCTACTTTGATTGTTCCTCTTATAGGACACTACACTCTATGTTACCCTTGAACCGTGCCCCATGTGTGCTGGAGCAATACTTCAAGCTAGAATTGACACTGTTGTTTGGGGAGCTCCAAATAAGCTTTTAGGAGCTGATGGCAGCTGGATTAGGTAACAGTGGCATTTACTTCCTCTAGTTTCATTTTTGAAGAAATTCAGTTTTCGCAAGAGTAGTTTTCTTAATCTTTGTGGTCCGCATGTCTTCTCTGTGCATTCTTTCCATTCTTCATTCCGAATTCTCATTTCATTCACAACTTGTTAGGCTGTTCCCCAATGGTGAGGGAGGAAATGAAGTGGAACCAACAGACAAGCCAGCTCCACCTGTTCACCCTTTCCACCCAAAGATAGCTGTTCGTCGACGAGTCCTGGCAGCAGAATGTGCTGACACAATGCAGCAATTCTTTCAACTCAGGAGAAGGAAGGACAAGAAACGAGAAGAGGAACCCACGACGCCGCCTTCATGTCTTCCCATCACACACCACCCTTCCAAGTTTTTGCATAAGATGCACCATGCTTTCCATGGCATGTTCTGCTTGTAACTGAGGAGACACTTTCATTTAGTCATTAATACTTGTATATTATTTCCCTTTTGTTTTTGTGGTAAAATAACTTAAAAATCCATGTGGCTCATGCACTATTTTTTGCTACCCAAATTTGGGACTTAGTTTATCTGGGAAGCATTTGTTGAGAATCAATTGTATTTTCAGAAAGAAGATTCTTGCACCCGATACGAGGTGCATATTCTTGTCTAAATCTCAGTGATGCACCATCTTCATCTGCTGGCAGAATCAAATGCTTTGGTGGTCATTGGATTTTGGAAAAGAAACTCAATGATTGAATTGACCAGGATAAGTCAACGATCAAATTCGAGTTGTTAAAATTTAAAATATTTCCATTGGAAATCTTTGATTGGAAGCACATTTTCAACAACCGAATGAATTAAATTATTATTATTTTTTCATTCACAATTGAATGAAACTTTAAAAAACGTATCATCATCACAGCTGAGGAATGAATAAGAAAGCGATTAAGCTCTACAAGGCTGCAACCGACACCGTCGAAAACGAAAGAATGCTGCATATGGAGTTTTGTTTAAATAAAATAGGTGTTCTTAAGGTTGAAAAGGACACCATAACCAAGTTTAGATCTTACGTTGTAATCCCAGTTCAGTTAACAAAGGGGAGAGAGTTTGGTACAGGAAAGATTTGTTGTCGTTTTTCTTCAATGCTGGCACCATTAATAAAAAAAACCCGCCACTATGAGGCACGCCCAATATACTCTAATGCACATTGATTATTTTAAAGAACAACCATAATAGTAATTATTAGGAGGAAATTCCTCCATTGACATAATATCATCAAACTCTTAAATCTTGGAATGATGTCATAGTGACAATATAATTTCTCTACACATCTCTCAATGAACGTGAATGTAGTAAATGTAAAGTATCAAAATAATGGCCTTTGTTTTATGGCGCTAAGCCGCTAACCCTTAATCTCAATTTACATTTTTTACCTTCATTATGTTTCGAATTGTATCATCCAAGGAAATATAAGTACATATCAAATAAATCTCTTCTTGGTAAAGAACATTTTTGCCACTGATTTTGTAATGTGGCAAAAAGACTTTGGGGGGAAGTAGCATGGATTGCAAGCAAACTAAAGCAGAAACAAAAAGAAGGATAGACAGCATGATAGAAACTCTTGGTTACGCAAATTGTTTTGACTTCTAAGTAACCAATAATCTGGTATTCCTGTTTCTCAACGCTTAATGATTCAACTCATAATTACATTTTAATCATAATGCAGCCCTAAACAATCTTTAATCTGCCAGATCAACCAAGAAGCTGTAACATTCCTTACGACAGCTCCATTTCTCCATCCACCAAACCCTTTTGGTTTTTCTACCCTCCTGGAAATTTCTATATAAAAGGACTACTTGTCTCATCAGTTTATGTGACAAGAAAGAAATGGCTAATTCTCTCTTGGTATACCTTTTCGCTTGCTGCGGCATTTTCTTAGTCTTGGCCAATGCACAAGCGCCAGCAGCTTCTCCGTCTAATACTCCAAGTGCAACCGCCCCAGTTGCAACAACACAGCCACCGGTGACAGCAGTGACCCCAGCTAGTCCTGTATCACCTTCATCATCACCTAAAGCAGCACCGGCCTCGAGCCCTATCACACCACCACCACAACCTCCACAAAGTTCACCTCTTCCCAGTCCAACTCAACCACCATCCGTTGTCTCACCGGCATTATCACCTGCTGCACCTCCACCGACTGTGACTCCTCCCACAACACCTCCTCCAGCACCAGCCCCAACTGCAGCAGTGCCAGCTCCGGCACCGACAAAAGAAGCTCCTGTACCAGCACCGGTTCCTCCACCTGAGGCCCCACCAACACCAGCCCCGGCACCGGCAGTCAAATCACCTGCCCCAGCACCGGCTGTCACATCACCAGCCCCAGCACCTGAATCAGGACCTTCACCTGCACCAGCTCCACATAAACACAAGCAGAAGAAGAAGAAGCACAAGAAGCATCATGCACCAGCACCAGCACCCTTACCCCCAAGCCCTCCTGCACCACCTACACCACCAGCTGAGGAAGCACCAGCACCGTCACCCACTCTTGATTTGGTAACGGTCATAATGCTGATAATGAGTTATCTTCTATTTCAAAACAGATAGTACTTATATAATAACACTATTATTTAATAGCTAACTCTTCTTCTCTTAATTTCAGAATGCAGCAACATCCCTTCTACAGCAGCGAGGAAGATCTAAAATGTGGTCCTGCGTAGGATTAGCAATGGCTATTCTTTCCCTTATATACTACTAAAATTCTTTTAATTATAAGCAAGAAGAGCCATTCTGTAGCCATACAGGAGAAGAGAATATGTAACGACATTGTTTACACAGTTAAATTTATATCAAAATTATAATCATTTTTCAAATTCAATCATGAGTTCGAATAGTTTCTGTCAATGACTATCTGCAGTTGAGTCCGCATCTGATTCCTCTCTGAAATTATACTCAACTACCAGTCCAAGATTGTCTACTAGTTTGTGATGTTGGAAACAACCTGCACACTGAAGAATGGCAATTTCAGTTTTGAGAAACAGGACCAAATTCTAACAAAAACAAACACATCTAGAAGAAAATATTTGATAACTACATGTCTACATCTACCAAAACAGCAGCAAATAATTACTGAAACAGTAGTTATGAACATGGTGAAATAAGTGAACCAGACTGTGGAACGTAACCCAGAACAAATGCAAAGAAGGTTGTAATTCCCTAATCATTCAGTAATTAAAATACAGAAAGTATGATATTTGTGTCCCCATCCTTCCCCAATTAATTTCAACACTGAATCATTTATTTTAACATGTTATCCAGCTTCGTCAAATGCAATACAAAAACTCCTAATATTAGAAGCCTTCTAAAAAAAAACTGCACAGAGAGCAACTTTGTCCAAAAGGGATCCATTTAAGCACCAAAAATAAGGTGAAGGAAAGGTCTACAATGCAAGCATCTGGAAATAAGGCAGAATGAAGCCCAAAAAGAACAAACACCCAAGGATGAACAAAGTAGGATGTCAAGTTCTACCCTTACAAACTTCTTTTACTTGCATCATTCTCAAAATGGTCAAAAGGATTCACATTACTAAACCAGTTAACATTTATACTCCAGCTAAACAATGAAACAATATGGCCTTTGTTAAACGCAGAAAACACAAATACATGCATCGGGCCAAGTATTCAAAATCCTATTTCACGGCTAACAAGTGAATGAGGCATTCATCAGTACCTGTACAAAAACAGTTCCACGTTCATAAGCTACTCTGTTTACTAACTTTGCTGATCTTTCACCGCATGCATTACATGTGAATGTCACCAACAAACTTCTCCTGGGAAGTTTAAGATCAATTTCAGCCTTCTGCAAAGAAGACATTAGATGTACTAAAGTAAGCATAGAGGGGCATTACAACCTAAAACAGTAAAAGGAATTCAATTTAGAAAGCCCAAGTTATTGAATTTTGCAGCAGAAGCAGGTTACACAGTCATTTAGAATGCGCAGCCGAAAGACAAATAACTAGTCGGAGTCTATGCAAGACTATGCAAAATATAGGCAGTGATGCAAGAAAACATACAAGGATACTGTACCAGACTAATGGTGGCCCAAATCCTGAAATGCCCAAGTTGTATATCATTTAAAAAGAATATGAATCCAATAGCATCAACATCCGAAATTCAATTACCTCAGAAGAATCACTTGGAATGGAGGACTCCCCTGATCCTGGGCCTATTCCAGAACTCTCCCCGACTAAACAGGAAAATATTGGCACCCCATGAAAACGCTTTGATGGTAATCTTCTATGGTAAAGCCTCAACCTATAAAACCCCTCAATCATGGGACTGAAAACCACATATGTAGATAACCACAGAGCAATGCACACAAATTTGAAAACAAAGATGAAATTTTTTTTCCTCCAACAATTTGGGTTCGGAAAAATTCTGGAACACAAGGCACCCATAAAAAAATCAACTGAAGTAACAAAAATATACTTGTGTGAATTGAATCATACATGTGCATAGAAAGGGATTGCAGGAACTGACAGGAAAGGGGGAAAAAGAACAAACCTTGATGAATTACAAACAATTTCAGGTGACAGGGAAGGAAAGAAAAGAGATGAACTTGGCACACGGCCTCTGTTGTTGGTGAACAAGGAAGAGTTCGAAGTCGTCAATCCATTCAAAACACCATTGCTGAAAATGGTTGAAGATGAAGCCATGGGTTCTTCGAGCAAAAGCATTTCCCTTTGGGTCACTCTGTTTTACGCTAATGCTTTAAATATTTTGCTAAAGTGGTGTCAAGTCCATTTAAAGTTGGTTTGGTATCAATTAGTCCCTTAAAGTTTCAATTCTGTCCTCCATTAATTTTGCATTTAGTTGCGAGCTTGAGATAAATTTTCCCTCCATGAACATGTTTCCTTTTTTTAATTTTTATTTTTCCAAAGAATGTATCCATTTTCTTTTTGATTTGGATAGATTGTGAAGACTTAATAACTATGATTTCATTCTCATAATAACAACACGGTTAATTATCATTAATTTTTATATTTTTAAACATTAGGTTACAGTATAATTCTTAGAGGTAGGATTTTAGAGTATTGCGAAAATCGTTAATCATTCAAGTTTTTGAATGCATAATCGATAAGTCTGAATTCTATCTTTTATCGTGTACAGATAGATCGAATGAACAAACTATAACGATAGTGAAATTAGATCAACTGAGTTAGCGAAACTGTCACGTCTCTTTTCTATTACCATGAAATAGCTCTAAGCCTCTAACATGTGTCTTTCTTGTCATATTGTTGCAATTCAGTTTTGTTTATATAGCTAGCAAATGTTAAAATTATTTCCTGAATATATTTCAAGAGTAGTAGAAAAAAGGAAGGAAAACAAGAACAAGACAAAAGTAGTTGACTTCTTGGAACATCAACTTGTCAATTAATAAGAAAAATTCCATTCCCAAGCAAATTTTGCTGAGACTGGATAAATTGGATATATACCCAAATAATACTATTCCATAATTCAGTATTCTCAATCCAACTATGGCTACAATGGGGGATCATCAATCAATCTTGATCATCCACCTCATGGAATGGAAGTGGAACTGTTTTAACAGCTCTAAATTTGCCTGCATTATTTAGATGCTCATTCTCCAATCTGTTCCAAGATAAAAACAGAACCAGAATTTTTTAGCATTCTTATGGATATGGAAGTTGATATGATCTCAATTAATAATGGAAAAATTAAAATGATTCCAGAATTGAGTCAAGATCATGGAGAGTTGTTTCTTGTTACCTGTAAAAATTCCAGTGACCTCTTCTAACAACTTCAAGGGCTGCTAAAAATAGCCCTGTAACTCTATAATCTACATTTCCAAAACTGTAGTGGAAAACTGTTTGTAACCAAGCTAACCGAAGAACCAGATTCAATCCCTGCAAGAACAAAACTTTTAAGATGGAAAAATGGTCTTTGTCTAGTTGATAAAACTATATGTTGAAATATTTCAGTTTGTGGAGTTACCATGGAGAAGTAGTAAATGAACTTTCGACGAAGAATTAGTTCATCTCTTAGCCATGGATTCTTGGAATTGAATTGCAGTAAGCCCCAGTCTTTTACAAAATCCCAGTATAATTGATACACTGTTGCAGCACTTGACATTGTTACTAATAGGCAAAGCCATCCAAAGCTCCTTTCTTTCTCATAAGCTACTTTGGCTCCAGCTGCCAACATTGCAGATACATATTTTCCTAGGTTCACAAGATGGCTTTTGTGTCCTTCATCGAACCATCTTCGCGCGCACTGTTAAGCATAGAAACCTTAAGTTAACGGATGATTTAACACAGTCGACTCGATGTTAGATTGAGTGCTTTAATTAGGCTGACCTGCATAGCTCTCCAGTAATAAGGGAGGAAAGAAACTGCATAAGCCAAGTCCCTATAGTTTTTGTTCCTCATACAAAGTCCATAGTCCTGAGTCTTGTAGCTTCCAGTTATGTAGTAACACGCGACATACTCGAGGTTTCTAAGCATTGGTACCTGTTTTTCAAATGTGAAATTCTTTTAAGGTAATGAATTGGATTGAGTTACAAGACGACTATTAGGGTTGATGACATTAGTACTAGACATTTTACCTGGCTACAAAGTTGATCAGCCATGAAAAAATCCAGCATGACAACCTTGTATAAAGGGGACAGAACAATGTTTCTGATCACGCAGAGGAGGCGATAACGGCTTGATTTGTGGATAATATTAAAAGGGCACACCAGCAGCAGTAGAAATATCTGCAGAAAAGAACAAGGAACATGATTTTTCAGTTTTTACTGTGACATCAGGTTTATGTATCTTTATTTGGTGAAGAAGTTTACCAGTAATACTAGGCCTGGGATTGCTTGAATTTGTTCATTATATCCCTTTGCTATAAGAAACAAATGTAGAAACAAGGCTCCTACGACAGCAGTCATTGATGAGGTACAGATCAAAAATATATCTCTGTACTTAAGTTCTTTCGTCGAGGACAGCTCAAAGATGAAGCTGTAATTGATTCGTGTTTTGCGCCACATAAATATGTTGCAGCCATAGAGGAAGAAGTGTAGGAATAGTAGACTGAACATGCTGCAACAATTTGAACATTTTTTTTTTCGTGTTAATTAGCTTATCTGAAGTATAACATGAGTTATTGTCTGTTACAGTTTGCATTACTGTAACAAAAAAAAAAATGTGTACCAACTTGCCTTAGCACAGGGTAGACAGTTTCCATGTAAATTGTATTTGACTGAGGTCTATACATTCCAGTAATATGAGCCATGATGACATATCCAATCAAAAGAGCCACAAAACACCCAAGAAATAATCCTGCAGGTTAATTCGAAAAGGTAGGACATTAGCAAAAATCATTTTCTGAAATTCAATGAATTTCAAGCCTTGACTCAGAGACACAAATGGTGGATTTTCACTATTCCCTCATAATGTTCCAAGTTATAGTGAATTCTGTTTAAGTGTCTTGACCGAACCACGTAAATCATGTGCGTTAACTCTTAACTGTTCTTACTGTTTAAACTCTATTTTATCGCTGATCAAGTAAGAATCTCCATTTTTGCAGCTTCATATATGACCACATATAACACTGAAGAAGCTAGACAAGGCTTTGTATTATAGGCATGAAGGGTCCTTTGAGGTACAAAAGTTGTGGTCAATAAAAGATTATGGTCTACAACATGTGGACCATTTAGAGAGCTTTTCCAGTGATTTTTAGTGGCTGATTCAACCTCAAGTTGCCTAATTGAAGTGATTATTTTTCTGTCCCTAATCAAAATTATGCGTTTCAAATGTTACAAAGCAATGAGTGATTCAAAAAGATAACAATTATGTCATGCATTATATGTTATCTTGATCGTTTAACTTTTCTGCAATGCTTTAAAAAGCTTATTCAATGACTGATTGGGAAAAAAGGGAAGAAACATGATTACACTCACCAATGAAAAAGGTGACAGCATGCGATTCTTTTCGCTGTGTTGGTTTGAGGTACTTCATGGCCTTTCTTCTATCATCTTCAGCAAAATGTTTGACAAAGATTTCTTCAACTTCATCAGTTAACTTCAGTATCTGTTAAAAAAAAATTTGTTTTTTGAGGAAATGTTATCAGACACTTTGTTTTTTCTGAGTCTTAGATGTATGCACCAAAATGCAGTGCTAGACAAGCAGATCTTAGCCTGCTAGACCATTTACTGGTGTTGGAATGCACTTTTCGCTTGCACAAGATGACCACTTAACATTGTCTAACAATACGCGGCGATCGGATGGTTGATTCCCTTGAATTAATCATCCTCCAATCACAATATGCAGCAAACATGCTTGTACTATATCATCTAGTCATACTTTCATGTTCGCTAGAGATTTTTTTTTTTTTTTTACCATGAATTCATTGCTTTTCTGGCTAAGCAATTTACCTTGTCTGAGCTGTTGAAGTACGAGCTTTCGACAACTCTTAAATAAATGGGAAGAACTTGTTGGTTGGTCACCTGAACAATTTTTTTTTTAAAGTTAGTCTATTTGTCAAGAAAAAAGTAAAATTATTAGTTGATCATAAAAACAACATTACAACCCAATACTTACTTTATCAAATTTCTTCAAAATCTTTGCAAACGCGAGCATGTTAAGGTTCCTAAAGATTTGAATTGGTCTTTATTAATGTCATCAAAAAGATTATAAATTGATGAATGACTTATGAATAGCATTCATAATACCTATAAGTTTGGAGATAGTCCAACCCTTTGTAAATCTCAATGAGTGCTCCTCTGATCATTTTCTCAGCATGATGTAGCTTTGTTTTGTTTATGTGTAATCTCCTTTCGCCACCACATTTCTTGGAAGTCTGATTAACTAAATCATCCCATAGCAGGTAAGTTACCGCTGAAAAGGTTCGAGTTGGATTTGTTAGAGGGATGTGAATTCTTAAGTTTTTCCCTTGACAGTTGATGAAGTGATTGGAAAGACTCTTAAGTTTTCCATCCTGTCTTTTAGAACTCGTCGATTTGCTCAATTCGTTTGGTTTCGCAGAATCATCATATTGTACATCTTTTTGATCAGGTTCATCCTGGCTGTTGCCCTGCTGCCCCTGCTCATGCTCTGCCATGTCTCTGTTGGATTCTTCATCTGTTGCAAATTCATCATAAATTCAGTCAGACAGTAGCTTATGAATACTGGAAATCACTGATGCTGTAGTGTTTCAGTTTCAGAAATTTGAAAAAGCATGCAAATCTTACATTTTTGGCAAATGGTATGCAATTTTCATGTTTAATTTGCATGGATATGTATATATGGAGATGAACTTAAAATGAGTTCCATTACCACATGAAATGGTCCCTGAGATGGATTCGTCCTCTTTAGGAGCTGACCCTTTTGCATGTTGTTGCCTGAGGGCTGCTTTGAGCTCTATTAGGATCTGCATTTGTTTCTTCAGTGAATCACCTCTGTCAAGAAACTCTGCCTCTTTTTTCTTGTAAAATTGGTTAACTTTGTTAAGTTGAAGGTCTAGAAGCGCGAAAAACTCTTTCGCCGCATCAGTATTGTCAGCAAATTTCTCCAGCAGTTCTGTCTCATACAAGTCTCCTTTGCTATCTGATGATTCAAGTTTTCGGTGAACCTGATCATCATCATCATCATCAAATGGAAAAAAAAATTAAAAAAAAATCAGTAAATCATGCGTTAAAGCCTATTCTTCTGTTAAATGTAAAGAAATGTCACATTTTCCATGTGAGCTGAAAGTAGTTCAACAAAAAATGTGAATTGCCTTTCACTGTTTTCAGTTTTTTTTTTTTTTTTTTTTTGTTTACGCCACGCGATACGCGAGAACGCGAATCAAGAAAAACAGAAATGCAAAAAGGATGGGAGAGGAGAATGAGTTACATGAATGACTTTGTGCTCTCTTTGTTGATTTCCAAGAAGAGAGAATGTCCTTAAAGAAGAAGAGAAGATGTTGGAGAAATGTAATGTTTTGTTATCAGAATTCATGAGAAGATGAATCCTCTTTATTTCTTTCTTGAGCTGCCAATAATCCACAAAGGCTTCTTTCCATTCTGGAACAAGCTGCCCTTCAAATTGCTTGGAGAACTTCACCATATCTTTGACACAGTTTTGATTTTCAGGAGAAAAAAGGGAAAATAAAAAATAAAAAAAATGGTGTGTTCTCCAAAAATGAAATGTGCGACAAAGAAGAGTATGTAGCTAGTGAAGAGTGAGTATTTCGAATTGAGGCAAAATGATCACTTTATATATATATTGTGGGAGGGGCAAAAAAAACCAATTTGATTGATGTGCGATTCCCAACAGCACATTCTGTAATATCCTCTATGCCATTTTTATCCTAACATATGCTCTTTCTTTCCACTTGGAAAAAAAATACAGTGATTCCGATTCACCGGAAAATTCATGAAAAATGCTGCCGGCCGGATATGTGGTGGTGGAACAGGAACCTTTCTTAGAAGCTGCCTAACTTACAATGGAACCTTTGATGCAAATGGAGTTTTCACTGGATGCATGATTTTGGGGTTGGTTTTAAACTATAGGCACAAAATAATTAATGATGCTATACTAATAAATTATAACACAACGTACATATGCATGGTTCCTTTTTCCCTTTTTATCAAGAATCACTAAAATAATGCACTTAAAAAATTATTTGTAATTTCCAATTATATAGGTTACTTGAAGTTCACTATTTGTCCCATAAAGTATCTGTTCTGGACATGAAATGATGAAGGGAAAGCTACGTGCCCCATTTAACTGCACCACATCTCCTTTGTGAGTTTGTAATCTACCAAATTGGCGAATTTTTGTACGACATTTATGTTTAAAAGGTAGGCAGATTAATCATGAGTATGTAACAATGAGATGAGAGCGTTAGTCATTAAATTTTGTTTATCGTTTCATTTTATATATGTACACATTAAGTTAACAAGTGTAGATGTAGTTTGAAAAAAATAGTTATCATTTCATTTCACCAAATCAGTAAAGGAACCAATTACTTGGATTTAGAGGATTTGATTACGTTTTATAGTCGAGATAGATGGTTAATAAGGGACTCTCTGGCTGGCTGGCGAGCCCCTTAAGGGGATCGGCCCTACATGAAACTAAAATGTTATGTGTATGTGATTATAAGTGAGACAGATAATTTTATTTGTCTTTTGGAACAAGGCATATATACAAAGATGTGAATCAAGGGGCAAAATGCATCGAACTAGCTAGCCCTGGCCCTTAATGGGTAGTGAGTACTTTCCTGATTTGAGTTGAGGATTAATTATTGATTTAAACAATATTCTCCAATCACACGAATGCACAAATGTTGCCCCTAATTAGACCAGCCTGATTTCCACCGAGTTTAAGGATAACGAAAAAAAGCTTTCCCATTTATACTTATTTTTATTTCCCACTTTCGTTCCCAAAACTCTTTCTCTTGATTTTTTTTTGGGGGTTAATTATTGTTATCTCAATTATAGCATCTGAATGTTAACAGTGTGCTGTTTGATAAACTAATCACTTAGTGCTTCATACATCATCATGGACATCAAGAACACATCGATTTCTTTTTAGATGCGTTTTTTCCTTTCTTTCCTATTTCAATCAAATCGGTTGTTTTTTTTTTCTTCGTTTCATGTGGTCAAAACCGTGCCTATGCAGCAAATCTTAAGCGCGACCCTATATTACTTATATACCAAAGTATATATTTAGAGGATCTCCTGTCCCACAAAGTTTGTCTCACTTTTGTTTCAATCAAAAAAATTACGTAGTTTTAACATTAATCCAACTCATTAATTGGTTCATTAATCGGCTCTGAAGAGATCGGCTGCGAAGTAAGAGAGTGGATTAATATTAAAATTACGCAAATTTATTTAGTAGAACAAACTTTGTGGGACAGAAGATCCCAACTCATATTTAAAATCAATTGATAATGAATGTAGCGGTTTAACGAGTTTATGTAGTTACAAGAATAAAGTTTTACTTATGAAAACAATACTTGCTCTCACCGTGTAGGCTATCAATCACAACTAAATGTGTCTAATTTTCCTCTCTCAATAAAATACTTACAACTTAAACAAAGAGATTAATTATTGTTAGCAATAGTAAACAATCTACAATATGGAAAAACTGTAGTATGAGTTATGGGGAAAATATCTTGGCAATACATGCATGTGGTGCTTTTTTTTTTTTTCTTTTTCTTTTCCCCGCCCCATCTTATGTTGAGATTGGACTTTGAAGTTGGATGATGAAGATTTGCAATGGGCTCAGATATGAAAATGTGTTTCTTGTTTAGTGGTAAAACTTTAACGAATTTCTTATAAATCTATTAGTACTGATAAAACTTTAACGAATCCAGAGTACTAGATTTCTCATCACAGGAAATGAGGATGTTTCTTTGTTCTTTTCTCCCATATATCCATAGTAAGTGTGAGATTCATTCATAATCTTGATGCTAGGTTATACATTCTTAAAATTGAAGTAAGAAATGGATGCCAATTTAATCATGACGAGGGTTCAAAACTTATATAAAAATTTAGCACCAAATGGATATAATTTATTGGGAACATTTGTCTTCCGAAAAAACTGTCTAATTCGAATCCGAATTAATTAGAAAAATTTATTCAAATATCTAACGTAATAAATTTTTCTTTTTATCTTTCCGGAATACAATCTCCTGAGACAACCATCTTATGTTCGTCCCACCAATGTTGCATGTCGGCATGGATAGCACATAGTGCACCGATTACATGAGAAAATTCGAAATCCGAAGCCGTGTGTTATGTCTATTCTTCTTCTTCTTCTTTCACTTTGATGAGAAGGATCGATTTGGAGCAATATATTTGATGTTACAAGGGGTTGGCTGACTCAAAGATACGCCATCTTAATTGTCTTTGTTTGGCTACCTTCCACCATTAGAGAGAGCATCATTTCTCCTTTTCCTCACGGCAGCTACGCGGATCTCACACACAACCCACGAAAATTTACATTCACCTCTTCCCTATATATATTAAAATTTTTTTTATCTAATTTATTAATTCAAAATAACCTCGTAAAATAGTATTTTTTTTGAGACGGGAGATTAATAATTTTAAAATGACGATTTCATTGTTTATTTTTAGTGCATTAGAAGTTTGTAAAGACAATTTTTCCTACATTTAAGTGAAATTCACTGGAGTGAATTTTTTTAAAAAATAATAATAATAATTAACTTCGTGAGCATTTTAAATGATAAAGCTCGTTTCAAATTTTATTTACATCTTAAGTATTATTATCATGGAAGACACTCTCTGATAGGTAAAGTTTTTACTCCGAGTAGTGTAGACATTCTAATCCCAATCCTCTGTAAATGCGTGGGACCGAGTCAATTATGTTGAGAAATTGGTTTTACGTATACGTAAGATTAATTGGTACTTTGAGTCACGTTGCGATCTCTAGTGATTCATAAATACGTGCCTATATGAGTTTCATCAGATAGTTTTTGTATCGATCCAAAAAAAAAAAAAAATCATCATCATTAACCCGGAAAAAATGAAAAAGTTCATCTCAATTTTGGGTTTATTTTTTTTTTGGTATGTGTTTAATAAAAGTACTCTCCGCCTTCAGTCTCATTCATACGGCTCAAATTTATTGTATTTAATTTAACATTTTGTCCCTATAAACATGTCCCGAGAGAATATAAAATAAGTTTGTAGCCACATACATTCATTGTTTTCTTCTTTTTTTTTTTTTTTGGGTTTTCAGTGGTTACAAGAATATTAAGAAAATATAATTTGATTTATGAATAAAATAGGGGGCGATACAGTTGGACAAAGATGATTGGATTAAGAAGGATTAAAGTTTCTTTACGAGGAAATAGGAATGAAATAGTAGTACGTAGAAGAACAAAGGAGGGGAGGGAGCTATGACACTTTAAAATTTAGCTCAGGAATCTATGCTGTCCGATCCAAGGCAATTAAAGACAAAGCCATAAAATCATACTGGAGTAAACCATAATGGGTGTGAGTCGGATGCCAATTCTCGCCTGGGTGCGATTCATATATTGATTCCTGTCCCACCCCCCGATTCATCCAACATTATATGCCTCATGCGTACAATATATGTATACTGTCGTCTGTATGTATCGTTTTATCAAACTTTTTTTCTATTACGTTTTGTATGGAAACTTTCTACTTTTTTCATTTTACTTTAATAGTTTATAAAGTTAAATCGAAAGTATTGCTATTGTATCGTGAAAATGTTTTTTTTTTTCCCTTGAAAAAGTTATCTGTATTAATTACGAAGAAGTATGTAAATTATTAGAACGGCATGGAATGCCTGAATAATTTGGTCGATATAGTACTTCATGAGAGTATAGTTGCAATTTATCAAATGTGGTGCCGGCCTTAGGGGGAGGCTATTAAAGCCCTAACTTTAAGGCTCATATTGTTTAGCGCCTCATTTTTTTTTAGATTTTATTTACTATAATTATTTTTTTGAATTATTTTATAATAATTATTGAAAAGATAATAAAAAAAACTATACTAACATAAACATTTTGACATGCGAAGTTTGTTGTATTTTAGTTAACTTATAAATTTTTATATCGAAATTTTAAAGTATATTAATAAAAAAATTTATTTATCTAAGTTCGATTACTTAAGGGCTCAAATTAGAATTTCGCTTGGGGCTTCAAGGTGCGTTGAACCACCTATGATCAAATGACTACAATAAGACAAAAAGTATACGTATATAGAGTAAATTTTCGCAAAAAAAAAAAAATGTAACAGAGATATAAAAAATTAGAAAGTACATGAAAGAGTTATTTTACTTATTGAGAGAATTTTAGTTCTCAAAAAGAGATTTAACCGGTTTACATTCGAATCATAGCAATTAATATAGATTCAAATAGCAAGTGCGTACATTTTTAAGTTGATCTTAAAATTTTGATATTTACAAAACAGCATGTTTCAGTGAAACAAACTCATTCCGAAGGTGTGAAAATGCTATATTTAATTAAAAGTTTAGTCCAAGTGGTATGGTCAATTACTACTTAATGGAACTTCAAGAGAGTGCGAGATGAGAGGTTTATGAGTAGATTAGTAAGGGTTCAAAAATTCGTGGGACTATTTTTTTTTTTTTTTTTTTCGGTGGTAAAAGAAGGAGCTGACAGTTTAGTTAGGGTCATTAGAGTTTTCGACTCTTACTAGAAATCCAAAATAATTCTACGAATCCGATTCCGGACTGTGTGATCCCCAAGGAACGCCCTTAATGAAATGGCAAGTGTACCTAAAAAATAAGAGAATATCCCTTAAAAACAAGGTACTATTTTTATTCAAATGGATTAGGAACACATCCATTCAATCTAATCTTGAACAAATAAGATGATTCATTAAAAGGGCATATGCTTAGTCTAAATGCCGGCCCTAACACCTTGTACTCCTCCTCCACCATCTGACTTCTCACATGCTAGCTAATTCACCAAATTATTCATCAATTTTTCTTTTCTACCAAAGTATATGCCCTTTCTTTGCATTTTTTTTTCTTCTTCTTTATTTCCTTTAGAACGAATATTTTCATTCGTGGTGAGTACAATTTTTAAGTCCTGAAAGATTATTCAATAAATTAATTGATTATTCGGACATTCCCCAACATTTTTGTGAGCCATAATCTTCTAGATCAGTTCGTGGAGAGTAGGATATCTCATGGGTGTGAAGAATATAAATTAAATTGAATAGATTTGTACCATTTGTCATCCTACTAATGATATGTTCCTTACGTCTCAAAAAAATAGTCAACATTGAGTTTTGTACTGTTTTTAGTACAAAATTGAAAACTCAATATGAACTATTTTTTTGGGACGGAGGGAGTATTATGTAATATTTGAAAAGTCTTTGTGGTTTTGAGGCACTTTCCATGCAAAAGGGTGTGGTATTCCGATTCTCATAATGCATTCCGGAATCACAATCTTGCAGGGGAATTTGTATGTGTAGGAGAAAAGAGAGATAAAAGACAATGGTAGCTTAGTGATATTATTCTCTTATCAAAAGTGGTTCAAATTTAAAATAATGATAAAGTGGCACGTAATATGAACTCTTAAAATGATATTATATCCATGAAAGGCTAAATATACGTATGAATTCCATTCCATAACAATGAAAACACATTCAATACTGACTCTTTAACTCTTAAGGGACTATGTTAATGCCATATGATGGTTGCTGGTTATATGAAAATTAAAAATTTTTAAAATAATTATTTTGAGACAGAAATAGTGTTTCATCGTTTACATAATGTTAATTTTATTAAATCTTTTATTAAATTACAAACGAAAAGTTAAGATTAAATTAACAATTTTGCACAAAAAATGAAAAATAAAAATCAACAGTCGGACTCACAAAGACTCGTCAATTGGAAAAAACTAATAAGACCCTCTTTCAACTTGCATATGGCTCACAATATACTATTCTGAGTATTTTATAGTTAGACACATAGATTTCGTTCAATGGAAACCAAAATATGCTTGTAAATGTTAACGATAGTCCTCCTCCACAAGCGACGTCTGACTTAAACAACTTGAGTATGATAAGAGATAATGTGTCTTAGAGTAATAAGGTCAATCATACTCAATCGGAACATATGGATGATGATAAGAAGTATTAGGGTAACTCAATCTCTTAGTAATTACTTCTGTGATTCACTAAAATATTTCTGTAAATTAGATTAGTCTTACTAGTTTAGTTTACAGTTTGTAAAAGGCTGTCAAATCTTGTCTACAAGTATGGACAAATGTATCCGTCAATAATCGAGCCAATACATAAGTAATTCTCTCAAATCTCTCTTTTACGTATAAAACCCTAATTTCCTCTGTAAATATATTTTCTTCTGAAAAGTAAAAATTTATGATTCATGTAAATAATCCATAAATTTGAAAATGTTAATTATAATTTGAACTGATGGTGTTGGGGTTTCTTACCAACAATATGTAAATGTAAACTACGTAATAAAATCGTAATTAGAACATGTTATTGTTGAAATTTTTCAGCCACAATACATAATATGTTAGAATTTTAGACATTTGTTTTCTTTATTTAGAAAAAGAAAATGTAAAGTACTATCAAGAAATTCATTTATTTCATTTTTTTATTTTTATTTTTCAGACTGCATCTATTGGTGTTTTTGGTGTTTTTAGAGATACCTAAACTATTACAACAAGGTAGAATTTATGCTACGGTTGGTGTTTTTAGAGATTCCTAAACTATTACAACAAGGTAGATTTTACGCTATGGTCTTTAACAAGCATTCTAAGGGAAGGAGTAATATTAGTAAAGGAAGATTCTACTTAGTTGCGATTCTTGCTCTGGATTCGATCTACTGTGGCTGAGGACAAACCTCTTATTTACTTAAATTGCCTGCTTGTTAGATATTAGATTTCGCTTTCAGCTACATACTTTTCATTTCTGTGACAAGAATTGAACCTATAATCTTGCAATTAAAGGTATAGCGCATTAATTACCTGGACACGACTCGATTACTAGAATCTAAATTAGGAGAAGGGCTCAGAAGATAAAATACGTGGCAGGAAGCGTAACGTAACTGAAAACTCCCACTGAAGCTTCAAGCGGTTAAACTGCCAAGTGCCAAACATAATCATATGCCAGCGTGTCACCAACCTGTCCTTTGGTCCCACTTTCTCCGCCAATACAACCCTTTCAAACCATACATGGTCCCACTTCATTCAGCTCCTTCCCTATCTGAAACTAAGGAAAAAACGCCCAAATTTGACATCTTCAAGAATCAAAATTGTGTATAATCACAGTAACCAGATGTAAAGAAAACCAAGAATCTGAAATCTTGATCCAATCCCATCAATCCTTCCCCGCCCAATTTGTTCATCTTGTCAAATGTTAGTTTACCTGATCCCATGATCCCGACATAGACAGCGCAGATAAACCTTAAACAATTCGAAAAAAGATTAGATTTTTACACCCCAGAAATCCAATCCCTTTGGATATACCATTTGTTAATTGATAAAAAAATGCAATCCTACACACTTCCTATAACTGATCCAAACCCACCTTCTTTAATGGTCCCATCAACTTCAAACACAGCAGGGGCATTGCTATTCAGATCAGAGGACGAGATGTCTGCCACAGCAAGAATGATGATTTCTCCATCTTTTGAGGATGTCCGGAAAATTGAAACAAGACCCTTAATTTCTCGGACCTCAAGTTATGCTGAATCTTTGTCTTCTTCATCATCTTCTTCTTCCTCTGGGAGTTTGGTTTCGAATCTGCAGAAGCAAAGAAGGCGGCGGATTAATAGTGGAGCGCCCCTTTTTTGGCTCTCTGATGGGAGTCGGCGTCGACATTCTCTTAGGCAAGATATGGGCCAGGCTGCCTCGGACACTTACCTAATTACTCGACTTAGCTTTAAGCTGTTGAGATATCTTGGGTAAAGTTTCAGACTTCCTTGTTTTGATGGTTGGCCTTTCTTATGTGGAAGTTAATGTCGGATAATGCTATGAACTTTGCTTGCTTTTGCCGTTTTTCTTAGCTCTAATAGAAATGACATTCTATTTCATCATTGTGTTAAGAGAACGCTAAATGTGTAAGGGTAAAGGCAGCACAATCATTTAGTCTGTAGAGTGCTGTAGATGAACATAATTAATGTGCTAGAGTACATTTAGTATGTTAAGTAGTATTGGTACTGGAAGATTAGTATTTTAGGTTCCATTCAGAATGTATAATGAGGAGGTTGACACAGATGCCCCTAAGTGATTAAGCTATCAATTTACAAAATCTCCTGTAATTTTTGGCTACAGTGCATTGGTAACTTAATTTATTTACCTCTTTAATGGCCTTAACAATCTCAGAACCTTCATAATTCAGTATCTTTCATGAGTGAAGGCCTAAATCTGGTATTACTCCATTGAATTCTATGACCGGCGCTCTACTCATCTCAACTCATTGGTGATTTCAGTTGAAGTTGTTCCCGTTTCTTTGAATTTGTGAACAATTTCAATAAACTTTTCCGTTGGAAATTCTGCGGCTTCAAACAGGTCGAAACTTGGTTAGAATTCGTTTCATCATAGAAGTTGCATAGACGTAACATTATGGAACCCCTGTTGGATTCATTTTGATGGAAAATGTTGTCGAAGCTTCACCTGTTCAAATTGCTTCTAAAGTTATATTCCTGCATATCTATTCATTTTTTTATGTGGGTAGGTATATCAGTTCATCACCTACATATATGGTCGCCGCAGATTGCTGTCTGTGTAATTACCGGAAAAGTTATACTGATCACCAGCTTACAGTTGTGTTTCTTTCTCAGTGTTACTGTATTACTTGTATGGCATTTATTTCGTACTTACTTTTTTTGATTACGAAGCCTACGTGCAAACAAACAATCTTGTTCTCAACCTGTCATCGATTCTGATGCTTACAGAACATTTATCTGTATTCAGGGTAGGCTACAGGTGGATAATGAGATTCCTTGCCCTTGGCTGTTATGCGTTTCTGCTTCTTCCTGGTTTCTTGCAAGGTTGGCGTGTCTCATGATATGGGTTTGCACTGATCTTTTCTTTTTTATTTTTGAAATCCTACTTCTTTTTAATCTCCTTATGTATCCTGTTGGAATCTCCACATTGACATCTGCTTCTATACTCTTGTTTTTTTGTTTGTTAAGAAGTATTTTTGTCATGACCTGTTGCTATAAATTATAACAGTTGGATATTACTACTTCTATTCTAGTCAAGTGCGCAGAGGTATCGTTTATGGTGATCAACCTAGAAATAGGTAAGGTATTATGATGAGAATTGAGTTTTCAGGTACTTGTATGCAGAAATTTAGCGAGCTCAGTTTAGATATTTTGCTTGTTAAATGACAGCAGTGGGTCTTCATATCTTTTTTTCGACTTGTTGATAACTAGTTTTACTAACAAAGGTTATATGATGATGCAGACTTGATTTGTATTTGCCGAAGAATTGCGATGGGCCAAAACCAGTTGTTGCCTTTATAACTGGCGGAGCATGGATAATTGGGTGGGTATTGGCAGTTATTAAATTTGGCTCGTGTGTGGGAGATTGCATAAAATGGATGTCTGATATAACGGGTTGTCTGTCTTATTTCATAACTAAGCCAAACACAAGCACAAACCTGGCCTAAAAAATAAAAGAATGTGTAACTAGCATTTAGATTCCTTCGTTAGTGTGAACTGGAAAAAATGGAAAAAAGTTTTCTTTAATCTTTTGTTTTCCAAAAAGGTAAAGGCCTTTGTTGTAAGCTACCAAATTTAGGATGAGTTCTGTTACTTCGGCATCTAAGAGAAAAACATTTTGAAATATTTCATTGAAGGCATGGAAGAGTTCCTTTTTTAAATCTTTGATTTAATTTTTCTCCATTGGCACTTAATATTTGCAGGTATAAAGCCTGGGGATCTCTTTTAGGACAGCAGTTATCAGAAAGGGATATTATTGTGGCATGTATAGATTACAGGTAAAATTGAACTCTTCTATGCCATTCAGTTGTGCTTATTACTATGTTCATTTGACTTCGTAAACAGTCATGTTTTGTTCCTCTGGCATTTTAAATTCTTCTATCACTTTCCCTTTGTAACCACGAGCATCAACCAGAGTGGTTGGGCTGTTTGGAACAAGATTTGTTTGACAACAAGCATTTTTTAGCCTCATTGGCGATATTGTGCATTGTCTCTTCATTTTTATTTTGACATAAGCACTGTATCAAGTTTGAGGTTCATTTGATTGGCTAGCCTTAAAGTATTCGATTGGAAAGAATATGATAATATTACTTAATAGTAATGACACTAATGCCACTGCGTCTTTTTTGCTGCTTGAAATCCCAAAAATGCCGCTGCAAATAAACTGTATTTTTCACAATCTTGAGACTATGCTTTTGTTACATTGACTACTGATGGATGTAATCTTTTAGTTTTGGTGGTTATATGCGGCATCTCTTCAAAACCCAAAGGGCCTTGATGTGCAAGCTAACAGTGGATCCATGCATGACCTCATCACTTCTGTACACTTACACCAACTAATGCTGAATATATCTTATGATTGATGATTTTGATAAATTGCAGAAACTTCCCTCAGGGAACCATGGGTGATATGGTTAAGGATGCTTCTCAAGGGATCTCATTTGTGTGCAATAAGATTGCTGAATATGGAGGCGATCCTAACAGGTAACTGCAAAAGTCTCTGCTTTCTTTATCTTGAAATGAACTTGATACTATTGTATCAGTTTCCATTCTTACACGCCACCGTCACAGGATTTACTTGATGGGCCAGTCAGCTGGTGCACATATTGCTGCTTGTGCGCTTGTAGATCAGGCAATGAAGGAAGCAGGTGAAGGAGAAAGCACTACTTGGAGTGTGTCTCAAATCAAGGCTTATTTTGGTCTGTCTGGAGGGTAAGTCACAACTTTGACATTGCCTAATAACATCAAGATAGATTGCCTAAAAGACGTCTTTTGCTAGATATGCAAAAATAGCAAAACAAAAAATGAGCCTTTATCTTTTATGTTGTTTGCCAGGGTATATTTATGTTGCTGATTCACTTTATATATTTTATTTCTCTTTGCAGATACAATCTTCTCAACTTAGTTGATCACTTTCATAGCAGGGGTTTGTATCGTAGAATCTTTGTAAGGTATGTGTGCTTGATTTCATTCCACCCTCTTGCTTCTTGAAGGCCATGATTACTGGTCCCGTCCCTTATAGTTTTTTACCTGTGCTTATCTCATCTTACTCCTGATTGAAATAACTTTTCAGCATAATGGAAGGGGAAGAAAATCTCCGTCGATATTCCCCAGAACTTATGGTGCAAGATCCAGCGTGCATAAATGCTGCTTCCCTGCTGCCGCCAATTGTTCTTTTTCACGGAACTGGAGATTATTCAATTCCCTCAGATTCCAGGTAGTAGTTCCTTCAGTGGACTTCAATTACCAATGATGCATCTTAGCATAACTTGTGAGCCTCATTAAGCATGCTAGTCTAAAAGGGATGAGTTTGATCACACATTATACTAATCTCTTTCCCTATGTACAGCAAATCTTTTGCAGAAACTCTTCGGAAAGTTGGAGTAAAAGCCGAATCAGTCCTATATGAAGGAAAGACTCACACTGACTTGTTTCTTCAGGTATTATCTGAAACTTGCAGCTCCCATTTACCATCATAAGTCGACAGATGTTGTTATTACCCGAGTAACGATATTCTCTATGAATTCATCAATACCACCGTTCATGGAATCACGTAGTATATTATTGCCTTTTTGTCGACTGTCGCATCATTTGCTGAGCAAGAGTTTCTAACTTCATTATCGTATATCTGCAAATTAGCTTATACTAGTTACTTTTCGGGCTCAATTTTGTGTTTGAAGTCTTCAGAATTTGATGGAAACCTATTGATTTCGGCTTGTATAACATTTCTAGGATCCGATGAGAGGTGGTAGAGACGATATGTTTGAAGATGTGGTTGCCTATATTCATGCTGAAGATACTGAAGCTTTGGCAAAAGATGCGAAAGCTCCCCCAAGAAAACGCTTAGTACCTGAATTCATGATAAAGTTGGCCCGACGTATCAGCCCATTTTAGTGCTCCTTTTTTGGGTCTTCAACATGGAGATTGTTATTTTTGGTTAGAGATCCAAAGCCCATTCTCTTTCGGGTGCGTTAATGAGAAAGTTATTTGATTATCATTGCTAATCGCATGATTGATTGTATGGCCCATTTATTGTTCTTACTAAGGGCAAACCACAATTTAGTAACCCCAACTGTTAATATTGTGTATGATTTTAAGGATCGTACTGTTACGTGATTGTAATTATTTGTAACACTGAGGATTTTCTGTAAATTCTTTTCAGCTGTGTGAGAAATTTTTGATAGGACGATGATAATCATGACTACAAATTGATAGTTATGACAAAATTTGCGTGATGGATTAGTAATCATTCTGAGTTTCATGAGTGGTTTAGTAGTAATGTAGTATCTAGCTTTAAGTCGGTGATTCGATTAATTATGTCTTTTTAGTACAATATATAATTTATAATGTGGATTTTTTTGTTGGACGGAACGAATATTCATCATAATCACCAGTAGGAAAGAGTGCTAACTGCTAATTAAGCTGAGGAATAGTTGAAAAACAAAACATAAATGAAATTTAGATTAATATTAGCTGTGGAATTAAAGCGGGGAAAAACGGAAGGAGAGAGTTCGGGATAGAAGAAGAAAAACAGATATTTGCGTAACAAGATGATGGGATTAATGAAATTAGATACTCCTTCCGTCCCATAATTATTGTCCAGTTTGGATTTCCATTTCTGATTCAAATTGCACTAAAAGTGAAATCTCAAACTGGACAATAATTTTAGGACAGAGGGTGTATTTGACTAATTGGGGTAATTTAGACAATAAAGTAACAAATTGCTCTGCAAGTTGATTTTTGCGTTGACAATATCGCTAGTCTTAAACTATATACTATTAGATATTCTAATTTAAACGGAATAATTTTTGTCATTAACAGCCCACACTGGATCGATGTAAAAATATGTATTCTTTCCGGAAAATGAATTATGCGTTGTATTTTGATGTTTATTGAATACATGGAGAGTTTCACAATGCACTCTAAACACGTTCGTCAAAGGTTCAACAGATTCTCCCTAAACAGTAATGGATCTAGAACAAATTTTATTGTGGGCAATAAATATATAAGCGAAATTTTTTTCTTCATAAAACCGTTTTATTATTATTAATCACAAAGAATTTCCTTATTTTGATGAAATTCTCAAACCGCTTTCATATTTTTAGTTGTTTTTCAACATAAAATGTAAACCAGATACCATTCAAAAGCTAAGTATTTGGTACACAAACAAATGTTACTGTGTTCAAAACTAAAGACTCTTTCTGCGAATATTAAATCAATAGGCAAAGTCATAACTTTTTTTTTAACCAAAATTTGTCAACAAAACACTTATACATGCACACAAAAAAAAATTATAAATATTTTGAAAACACTGGGAGCTTTTAAAGTATTCAACAAGACAAATTAGTTGAAATTATAAATAAATTTGACTATTTTATTACATGAATTGTGCATCATTAGTATAATTATAAGTCACAATTACTTATAACATTATATGAGTTTTTTTTTTTTTTTTTGAATAATAGAACACCTAGTAATACAAATTCACTTCGAATGACCATATTTAATCAACCCCAAATGCAACCAAGAGAATATAAATTAAGGCAAAAAAGTGAAAATTACATGAAACATTAATTATTAATTTTGTCATTATATTAAGATAATAAAATGTATATACATAATATAAAGGGCTAGGGTGGGGCCAGTGGGGGCCTTCTAAAGGGAGTATTACTCTTTATGTCCAAAAATTATTGTCTAATTTGAATTTTTTTACCTTTAGTTCAATTTGTACTAAAAATAAAAATTTAATGTGGACAATAATTTCCGAACGTGGAGAATACTTTTTTGCAGCAAATGCAGTAAAAACTAATGAAGAAATACATTGATTAATACTTGATTTCTCAATGTTCTGAACGGTCTGCAAATTACTTGGCACGACGTGGACCTGAAGGAGATTTATCACCGCCTTCCCTGTCAGTTAACCCGAAATGTATAAGATGCAAGAACGAATCACAAAACGGATAAAATAAAGAAGAAAAAGGAAATACAAATAGATGAACAATCAATAAGTTTTCGATTGAATATTTGTACAAATCATGATATATAGTGAAATTGGGCTTAATCCAAAAGTGGAATGAAAAGAAAGAAGATAAAATGGAGCACAAACCATAACCCATGTCAAGAAGAGAGACAATCAATTAATTGATTCTATATGCATTTTTTGAGTTTGATAAAATTTTTTGGAAATACTTACGAGCCTGCTTTATCACCCGTAGCTTGACCAAAGGAAACAAGAAGAGTGAAAATTACAAGAATCAGAAACAATAGATAGAGCTGCATAGTGCCTCCTCTTCTCCGAGCCATTTTTCACGACGTCGTTATTCTGTTTCTCTTTACCAAATTGATTCACCAACAAGTGTTCTTCCAAAAAAAAAAAAACAACAAATGACTTAGAGCTTTATTCTTTTACTAACTCAACTTGGATGTGTATATATATACACACACAGCAACAAAAGTCTTGAGTGTTGACCACACACCAAAGGTTTAAGAAATCCGGTTAAGAACGGCAAGCAACATCCTTATAAGCCTTAAATGACTTAATCAAAAGAACAAGGGTACTGTTAAGGTATATAATCTGTCCCATATCGTCACCGTGAAAAGAAGCGACTCAATGTATAAGTGTCAAAAGCCACTTCACTCATTGTCAATTGGTTTTGAGATGGGAGGCCAAGACACTTATATACTTTAACAGATACATAGTCATAAAAGAAAAATATTACAATAAATGCTCACATCCATTCGTTTTTAATATATTTTTTTTGTTTTAAGATGTACTATAGATTTGTGCTTTGTGATTAGGAAATAATAATTGTCACTTGTAAATTTTCATTATATAATCTTTTTCATGCACATATTACCTCTCTCATTAAATTATGTGGACTGAGTTTGCAAAGATAATTCAATTTGATTTAGCTTGGACTCACGCGTCATCACTCTCAAAAATCAAAACGTATGATTTTTCAAAAGTTTTTTTCCGTGTTGAAAAAGAGACTTCTTAATTAAGTTCCTTACAATTAAGTCTCTATGTGAAAATAGAGATATTCCAAGGTCAACTTATAGGTCGTGCTCTTGAATATTTTACTAAAATGCATTAATGGAAACTGGTGTTAATTAAATTTCCATGAAAAAAAGGGATGAATTAATTAACAGCTAGCTGCCTTTACATTCAAAACGATCGGACTGGAGAATTCCTGATTTGTGCTTTGAATATATGCCAACAAATATAAATGCTTCTTCTTTCGTTGTTGCTATGTTGTAGGTATTGTGATGTTCCACATAGTGTACATTTCAAATTATAACTCTTCCATTGTGTCTGAAGTAAAAACATTGCTGAGGAAGTAAAATAAGAGTATAACTATTTAACAGTGGTTCGTCATCCGTGGAAATCAAGAAAAATGAAAACAAAGAAGAAAATTTTTGGAGATTACCTCATATTTGTGGAAAAAAGTAAAACCACATTATTTAATTTGATTGGCTCTAGACCACAAACTACGGGTAATAATAATTCACATTTACTACTTCAGTTCCTCAACTTTTTTGTGAATCATATGTCTCCACGAAATAATTATCAAATTTTAGTTTTCATTTTTAATACAACAGTACTAAAAATAAAAATTCTAAAATTATATAGTATTTGTAGTATGGATTTTTATATTTGGTATAATTTTTATTTAAAAATAAAAATTTATACTGCACAATCATTTCGAACAAAAAGAGAATATCTCTTATTACATAAAGAGAATTATTCAATAAATCTGTTGCGTCTTTGTATTGTACATTGAATCGAATGCATTATAAGTAATCACTACAGCGTTCTCTACACATTGCGAAACAGCGAAATAACCTAGCCATTTCTCTAATCTATTGATCACTAATCACAGAACAGAATTACACGTGAACCGCAGACATGCAACGTTGTAATTTAGCAATATATAGAAGTCTTCGCTTCGGGTTATTCAGTGTGTGATCATGTTCATGATCAAAGATCATGCCGCGCGATCTATTGATTCTATTATTAGTGACTAGAGTTAATCTCTGTGTAATGGTAACGTTAGACTAAGTACTCCCTCCATCCCAAAATTATTTATATAGTTTAAATTTGTTGTGACGGAAATGGTATAAACACAACAAACCAGCGGAAAAGATTCCCAAGAAAAACTCCTTTCCTACTACTAATAAAACAGGACAACCAACCAAATAAGCAAATAATTCAAGAACTGATAAAGTAAAGTAGACACAAGAATTTACGTGGAAAACCCAAATTAGAAAAAATCGCGGGACTGTAACAACAGTCAAATCTCCACTATCACAATAATGAGAAACAATCTTCACCAACTGGTGGATACACAAGACTTCACCAAAGGTGGATTACAACAATACTCTTCCACACACACAACTATCACAAAGTAAGACTGAAAGGATCTAACCAAAAGAGAGTTAAACCAAAAACTAAACCCTAGTTTTCTTTCTTTTTCTCTCGTATAAAAATAATACACGGCTACCCAAACTTTTCTTCTCTTCTTGGCTGGAAAAACATGCACAAATTGCGCATAAATCCTTGCTTTTAAAGGCATCAAAAACAAAACCCAAAACCCAATAGAAGTGGGTTCTCTTTTCTCGGTCAAACACCCCATTTAGGTTTGGTTTAATTTTTCCTTGTTATTGCTGGTCCAATTAAGGGGAACGACCAACCCAACAAAATTTTTATTTTTAGTTTATTTTACTTGCTTATACGTTGTCAAAATTCAGGGCTATTATGTGATAACGTAATACATAAAGTCGGAATAATTCCCTCACGTGCTTTGGATATAAGCTTAGGTAACACAAAAGTTCAAATTTGCAATTCTTGTAATTACTGGGAAGTGCTTTGAAGTCAACGTAGAGATCTAAAAGGAGCTGGGTGTCTAACCGACTTCATTTGTTGGATTTCAATTTCCGTCTACTTTTTCCAGTTCTTAATATAACCATTTTAATTTGTCATATATTTTACGTAATACGTATTTTTAATTGACAAAAATACGTACTATATAAAATATTTTATAATAATAAAAAAAATACAATAAATGTGAAAATATATTTTTAAAATTTTTTTGTTAATTAAAAATACGTACTATATAAAACATAAAACAAATCAAAATACTTTATATTAAGGATCGGATGGAATAGTATTTATCAACATCAATTCGTGGATAAGAAAGGAAAGAACCTGATTCCAATTTGGACAAAATCCTGGTACGATCGTCATCAAGCATCGATGAAGAAGACGGAAAAAAAAAAAGAAGTGTTAGGACTATTCATAAATCATAATATTAAGTTACTAACACAACTTGGATTTTAGGGACATGCATCTAGAAATGATATAGTGCCTAATTGAACTACAGAGTATAGTTTTAACCGTTGGGTGTTAAAATAATCACGGATTGAATATAGGGTGTCAAAGTATATAAGTATTTTGTGCTCCCATCTCAAAACCAATTGGCATTGAGTGGGGTGGCCTTTGGTACTTATATACAGAGTCATTTCTCTTCACGGTGGCGATGTGAGACAAGATAATACACCTTAACACCCTCCCTCAAGTCCAATGGGTCTTTGAACTTTTTGTCCAGTGGACTTGGATCAAGACAAGAACAGAATAATCCACGAGTCAACGCTCAAGTGGGAGAAAGCCAGTTATACCGCTGGATCGGTTCACAACAAACCCACGAATCAACGCTCAAGTGGAAGAAAATCAGTTATACCGCTGGATCGGTGCACAACAAGCCCACGCTCAAGTGGGTCGATATAAAATCACTACAGGCCACCTCCGGCCCAAAACTCCACCACAGGCCACCTCCGGCCCAAAACTCCACCACAGGCCCAACACGCTCTGATACCATGTCAAAGTATATAAGTACTTTGGACTTCCATCTCAAAACCAATTGGCAATGAGTGAGGTGGCCTTTGGTACTTATATACAGAGTCACTTCTCTTCACGGTGACGATATGAGACAAGATAATACACCTTAATTGGTTTTGAGGTGCAACCCCATGGGTTTTTATATGGTATCAGAGCAGGTCAGGCCCAGTATTATAATAGGCGATCGGACTGCTCAAAGTCCATGCCTACTGGGCCAGAGGCGATCGGACTAACCCATTAAAAATATCGGGTGATTTAGTCCATGCCCGTTGGGCCTGAGGGGGAGTGATAAAACACTTGTCTTACATCGATGCCGTGAGAGATTTGGTATCAATATATAAGACACATAGGCTACTCCCCTTATTGCCAATTGGTTTTGAGATGAGAGCCCAAGGTGACTTTTATATAGGGTATATAAGGTTATCCCCGTAATGTGGTTATTAGTTGTAAGTTAGTCTCTTTTGTTTTAAACCCCCCTCAAAAAAAGAAGAAGAAACAAATAGACGAAGGGTTCGCATTAGGCTAAACAAAGACATTTATTGTAAAAGTTGCCTTGCGCTGAATTTTTTAATATAATATATTAATGTAGATTATTTTAATTTTTTCCATGGAAATTAGAGAGGAAAGATATTGGCAGTTGAGTCATATTCAAAACTATGGGGCTGGAAGAATTCTTTGTTCTTGGGGCGTTTTCAATATAAGTCAAGAGAATTTAATGCTCCTTTATTAGTTGTTGAAGTATTGTTGTTGGTTAGACTGAAAATATATTTTTACTGATTGGATCCATGTTATAAAAGAAAATGCAGGTAAGTACGTAATTGACCAATTGAGCGTCTGCGTTGCAATAAATTAAGAGTTGTAACCTCATTCATAGCTACTAATTTAAAACTCTGGATTATAGTGTACGATATTAAGGATCGTATTGTTACATAGTTGTAATTATTTGTCACATTTGAGGATTCTCTGTAAATCTTTTCAAGTAGTTAGTTTGCCGTGTGAGAAATATTTGATAGATTGATGAGATTTGTAACTACAAATTGATAATTGCTTATGACAATTTACAGGATAATCACTTTTGATGTATATTAAATTATTCATGAGTGGATTAGTGATGTATTGAGCTTCAAGTTGGCGATTGACTATTTTCGTACAATTAATTGTATTTTTATCCAATGGAAAGAGGTACGTTAGATTTTGTAATTGAAAAAGGGGTGGATTCCGGTCACGAACAGCCCGACCATGTAAATACGCGCTCATCGAGGAAAATAAATATAAAAAAGGGGTGGATTCTTCATAATTATTGCTATCGGATACATGAGGGAGCAAATGCTTAATTAAAAAGTGATTAAATTGTTAAGTTAACGAAATAAAATAGCAAAATAATATCATAAGTAGCCATAATTTCACTCTTTGTTGGAGACCCAAACCAAGATTCTCCAAATTGGAATCTATGGCAAGAAGGTAATATACTGGTGTAATACGCAAGAAGAATAAACATTTGCACACCCACCTACAACCCCCATTCCTTAAACCGTTGAAAAACAAATCAAATTTGGATGTGGCATTGGACCAATTAATCGTTACTCCCGTTAATTTATATAGTGAACCATGATTTATATCGCAATATGTATATGATCAATCTAGACAGTCTTGAATCTAAACACGTACATCAGTAAAATTTACAAA